TGCAAACAACCAATGTCTCGCACACATTTTCGACACCATATATAATTATTGTGGTGGATTGTCGAACGGCGGCGTTTCCTTTTGGTTTGTACAAACTTTGCATATATTTAAATGGTGACTGGGGAATAAATGTTTCAATCGAATACAACAACCGAACTTACTTTATATGCGCTATCAAATGTCATTTGTGGCGCATTTTTTTTTCTTCAGCATTGCTTTTTATCGTCCAACCGAGTCGTCAATTCAATTAGCCGTATGACATTTCAATTGTACTAACTTCGATTGGTTACACTGTGTCGACAAAACTGTTTGCATTTTGCACCGACATTCTCTTGCAAAATTCATTAAAATTTTCCTTGTGTTTGCATTCAAAATGTTTGCCATAATCTTAATTGACCTTTTTTATTCGTTAAGTGAAGAGAACCTTTTCCAAAAAAAAAAAAACAAGTAAAAATTCTACATTTTTTCCAGATGTGCTTGGACTTCAACAAATACCGAGCGCTATACTTGTCTGGGTTTGCGAATTACAAAAAGAGATCTTTTGAACTGTCGAAGTGAATGAGGGAGTCGGTTATGCAAAAACCATCGAGTGCGGTGCACGTTTTGTACATAATTGCGAGAAAAGGTATTTGGCCGGGATATAACACTTGGAAACTTTCAAAAGACACCCATTGAACTAGCATTTTTACGGTCATTATTATGGTGATGAAGGACAATGATACTTGCTTACTTTTATTTGTTGTACGTGCACAATGCACACGATTTGGAGCCCCCATTTTGTGCACTCTCATCATCATCACACACAACCAACCAACGAAAAAAAGGTCTTCGAACAACAAAAAGCGGAATATAATGTCGAAATGGCTCATGTAATTAGAATAAAATGAGCATGGCTGGGTTGCTATTTTCGATGAACTCAACTCACTGGTGTGTCAGTGAATGAGTGAGCGGGTGGGTGAGTAAGTGTGTGCCCAGACCAATTGTTTGCATTGGATAATGAATTCAAATTGTATCAAACAATAGATTGGCGTTCAGTTTTAATGAATATTTTCGGAGAGTGTTCACTGTTCATGAACATTGGAACATTGGACATGACACACACACACACACACACACAACTTGGTAAACATTCCACATCATTCGTAATTACCGCGTGCTTGTTCAATTTACGTGTAAAGCTCTCGCATTAAATACCATTATTTAACACGCGAACGCGAACGCTAACGTTCATTTAACGCAAATAAATTTGCATATGATTATGTTCGGCGCACATCCGAAATGATCGGGTAAATGCGGAAGGCACCGCAAAACTTAATGAAATGTACTTTTTTTCTTCTTTTTCTTCTGTTCTTTCTTTCTTTCTTCTTCTTCTCCTTCCTCAGCTGTTCGCTTCGAACATTTTAAGTGTGCCGTCGATGGGATGGGCTGCCATTAATTAGCTGAAACATGTATTCAATAGGATTTTTTGTGCGTGTACTGTACAGTGTACACTCCTTCGAAGATCATAACACGCAGATAAACAGATTTCTTCGAGTGTAAAAAAGGTTTATGGCATGTTTTCTCTTGAGTACTCTCTCTCTCTCACTCTCTATCTACCGGAAAAACAATAAGCTCCATCGCAATACTTTGCATTGAACTTCATAGAGTTGGTCCGAAACTGAGCTGTGATAATGTGCGCTTTGTTAAGACGATTAATTTCTTGATTTTATTATTTTCTGTTGACATAATGTATCTGTATTCGAACTCGGTGCACGTAATCAATCTGCAAAAATACCGTGATAGCAGTTTAGATGTAATCAAGGTAATAAAAACGAAAAACAATTTTTAAAAGAGTCTCCAAACAACATACATTTCGTTCACCAAAATGCGGGTCTTCAAAAAACACAATGCAGATTTGATGTTCAATGCAGATTTGAGCACGAAATGTGGTCGAAAGCTTCTTTAAATTATTCAATTAAATTTCACTCACATCCGTGCTGTGGCATAACTGGAAATCACGAGTTTGTAATGTTTTTGTTTATGCTAATTACATGATGATTGATTGACGTTCAATTTCATGGCACATAATTTGCGTGTAACATGTAATTTGGTATTTAGTCAGATGCGCCATCCATGACACAATCACCACATAATTCGATTGAAATATTCTGAACTCATTTCATTACAATGAAAAAGATTATAATGTTGGTTGGATTAGCCAATATTTTAAATAAATGGGATTAAGCATGGTTCCAGTTGCCGTTTACCGAATTCATTTGCTGCAAGCAGCTTAAACCGATTTAATGCTGTGTACTTCTCTGCTGTTGTAATACATGAAATTGGTCGAATTGTCCGTAAATGCACCTAGGGGGATTTAACTACGTGAAAACTTGTAAAAAAATGATATAAACGCGCACGAAATTGTTACATTCACCAGAGAACTTGCATGATTCCACTCAGTTGACAAGTTCCGTATTAAAACAATATGCGCGAACGCGCGCGAGTTCGTGTGCAAACTTGTAGCTGGACGACGCGCACACATCAGTCGTTCCATTTATTATATCTGGATTAACTTTTTCTTCAACACTTTCTCCAGCTCTTTAAAAATATTTCCTTTGTCCATTTTATAATTATAAAAATCTTTGAACTTTTGGAAAGGATGTGAAAAATCTTTATACACGTAAACAACCGATTTTTAGCTTGAAACGCGTTTTAATTGTCAAATAACAACTTGAAAAACGCGCAAAACCATAAACAAACTTGTGTAAACTTGTGACCGTGCGCGTCAGTACGTACAAGGAACGCGTCGAACTCCCGCGAATCAAGCAAACTGGCAAAAAACATGCTGAACTCGTAAGAGTTAAATTCCCCTAGAAATGCACTTTGTCTGTTGTTGGACAGTCTTACATTGTAAGACTCTTACAACGAAAGAAACAGACCAAAATAAAATTGTTGATTGCTAAATCGCTTCGAAAGGACATCTTTCACTCTATCAATGAAGACAAATTTTGTCTCTATATTCAACCTTAAAACGAACCAGTCTTGTTTTTTTTTTCGAATATAAAGCGAATAATTGCTTGAATATTGACTTGAAGCGAAGAAATTCTCCTCTGAATTTTATGTATGCACGTTAAAGCACATTATCTGTATTTCATTTTTCTGAAGTGAAGGCGAAAGGAGGAAAAAAAGAGAGCAGAAACGTTGCCATAAACAGAAAATTCAGTGCTTCTATGATGTCCATTTTAATGAATTGCTTACATTCTGACAGTAATTTTATGTAAATTTAATTTCCACTCCGCACGCGCTCTTGACATGTTGGTCGATTTCCCTCCCTTTGCTTTGTTTGCTTCTCGATTTTGAATACCAGTGCGAACAGACAAAAAAAAACCCAACTAAATTGCCATCATTTAATGTCATCTGTTTAGAGTTACCCTTAAAAAAATGCCTTCAAGGTTTTTCGCCAAATTCATCTGCGAGAAAATGTGTGCACGAAAAAGGAAAAACCGGAAAAGCCAAAAAGAGAAGCAAAGGTCGTCAGTGTTGGGCATAAATTTTATAATTCAACATTAGAATGGCAATTTCGTGCATATTTTCCATATTCAACCAAGCAAAACACTTGCCCTCTGTGTGTATATAGCATGGAAATGTCAGCTTGTATCAAATGATGTGCGCATTTTCATTCGTTTTCGTCAAATTATTTCGTTCAATTGGAACGATGGCAGCATTTAAAATTATGTTTCGCTTTGAAAAATGAATCAAATGTCAATGCAGCATGTTTATGGGTGGCAAAATAATTCACATTTACAAATAATCACGTATGACTGGGAACATAATTTATAATTGATTCGTGTCATTTTCAATATTGCCACGGACTAAATAGACGCCAAGCGGAGGAAAAACATGAGAGCTGTAAATATTTTAAGGCGATAATTCTCGACCGCATTCTATTCAGTAATACATCATTAGTGGTTGGAAAAGCATCAAGTCATCGTTAAGTTGCTGCAAACAAAAATTAAAGAGCAAGTGCTCCCACTCTCTCCAGATGGCAAATAGAGAGAGAGCAAACGAAAGATGGAAAAATGAGAATCGTGACTTCACATCCAAACCGAGAAGAATTTTCATTTCACCAAAAGATAAATTGAATTGTCTGTTTATGTTGGGATTGATAGTTCGTTTGCTAAAAACTGCACAAATTCTGACAACGTCTTACAAAATTCCCGTCATATTTCAACATGGCACTGAACATACGTTGAACAATGTTCAACACTAACTCGCATTCTTAAATACGCTGGTCAGTGGGAAACGGTTCTTCTTTCGAATTTCAAACTGGCAATCTTTTTTCAGCGCAAGAAGCATCATCATTATCATCCAGTGGATTCGCGACAGCGAAACTATGCTCCAAGTAATACAATTCCAAAAGTACAACAACAATGAGCATCTAAATGAAAATCCAAAAAGAAAACGAAAATAAACAATGCACGCGTTTTTGCTCAGAGATACACACAATCAGACAAGTTGCAGCTGAAAACGGAATTGTAACAAGAAAATGAGTGTAAGCATGGTTTTACGTAGTGTGATTCTTTTTCTCCCTCCGAATTGACTTCGTCTTCGTCTCTCGTTGAAAGATTGAAAGCGGAAACAATGAGTGAAGTTTGTTAAATTTTAACGCTGCTACAATTTTCATTGTTCGCTCAAACATGAGCGCTCATAATTGGAACAACCCCCCCCAAAAAGCATTCAAGCGATTTTATTAATTATGCATTGTAGCAATAAATAATAGTCGCTGTTGTGAACCCTTGAAACAATGCACGAACAAACGATGGGGCAAAAAAGCAACACACATCCTATTTACTAGTGGCAATCGTGTTTTCAATGCTGCTGTTGTTTCAGGCGAATGGAATTGTGTTCGTATACTCCCAATCAAAAGTAAAAAAAAAAAACAATAGACGAGAACGAATTTGTTTTTATGGTTGTTCTACTGAAGAATGAAAAAAAAAACAATTGCACTTTGCACTACATACCTTTTGATTTGAGTTATTATCAGTTGTGACGTATGTTTACAGGCTTCAACACAGGATCGACGAACCTTCCTCACTTTTTCGCGTAATTCGGGGCAATCTTTCGATTGGCCGATGTGAATGAGCAAATCTCTGAATAAGGCGACTTGGCTATTGATTTCAACAATGAGCTGCAAAAAGAAAATGAGAACAGAGAAAAAAAATCATTTTCAATGAATTTTTCATGGACGTTACATGAGTTAGGTTTCACATAATGCTACCATGTATTTTCTACCAGTGTACTGAAAAAATCAGTACCAAAGCCAGTTTTTTCGCAATATCTCGGAAACGGCTGGATTTAGGCCCCAAATCTCGGCCTTGGGCTACCATCCCCATGAAGTTTTCTGCCCGATCGAATGGGACTTCTCACAATTTTCCCCGATTTTCCATTTTCCGTTTATAGCGATATGTTCATTTTCGGAAAATTTCCCAGGATTTGCAATTTTCCGGGAAATTTTCTTGAATTCGTTTTCAGCTTACGATCGTACATTCATAAAATGAAAATGGTTGGAAAATCTTGGAAAACTCGGGAAATATGGAAGATTTTGTAAAAATAAAATGTAGTGAAAATGACCCTTTATATATGAGGCCATATTTTGGCTCCAGTGACTTTTCCGGGAAATCTGATCAGATAGAAAACTTCCTTGGGACTTCCTCTTTCCATATGTGTAAACAAGAATTTGCTTCCGACACACGAATTTTTTTTACGAATTTTATTAGTGTACTGAAAAATTCAGTACACATGGTAGCATTAGTTTCACACGATTGAAAAATGGCCCTTTCTTCCCTATTAAAGTTTTGTTACTGTTGAAAAGGCTCGCTCAAAACTATGTATAGAACTAGAACATGGCTTTTTTCATCATCATCTCCTTTCTTCCTCTTCTTCTTTCTAACTTTGAAAGTTTTATTAAATCTCGTTAGACTCAATCAGTTTGGAGCATCGCGCGCTTCACAACCGGAAAATCGAAAAGTAAATAGATTCGAAGCCACTTTAATAGAGGCCACAATGCTAATACGCTTATATACGTGCGCGACCTAAATGCATTTCGTTGGCACGTTATAACATCTTGTGACTTTGATGAGCCGTGATTTATGTAATTTGACCCGATGAAAAAGATGAAGAATCAAAAGTTTGACACCGTGTAGAAATGCAAATCAGTTGTACGCAAAGTTGCCAAGTGAGTAGCTCACTTTTACAGTGTCATATACTTGACATGTGTGTGTTTGTGTGCGAAAATGTCTATTTCAATCAAAAACTTTCACAACGCCCACCAAATACTTGGATATCGATTACCAGAACATTCTGTTGGTTACAGTTTGCTCGGCGAAAAGTGGATTTGGCACATGAAAGACGCAGATCGTTCAAAGGCGATTAAGTTCAACAAGACAACGATTCTCTCTCTCTCTCTCTCTCTCTCTCTCTAGCAAACAACACTCGAAACTTTTCTATCAACTGCAGACGACATATACATTTACAGTTTTGCGCCAGCATCTCTACAAGCGAAAAAAAATATATATAAGTAGGTATATACACGGCTCCAAGACCAATAAAAAGTTTCACAGTTTGGTTTCGTTTTCGCTTCTGAAACATGAAAAATGTAACACCTTTCATATAAACTGTGTTACTTTTTAAAACAAACCATCGTTTCTATTCTTGCGACAGAACAAGCGTTTTTTTCGGTTTGATGCACTACTTTTCTACTCTTGGAAAAAGTATCTACTTGTTTGAAAGAGGAATGAAACTTTAGCATGATCTTTGGAAAAACTTGGCCTGGTACACTCACACACACAACAAAAAAGAAATTGTGTCGACACACAGAGAGAAAAAGGTTTTTTTTTCGATTGGTAAATTTTGTGTTCGAAAAAGTACGATGCTGCATTTTTTACGAGTTAGCAACGTTCAAATCTCAAGTATACATCAAAATGATATTTCAATGATGTCAATTTTTGAGGATAGGACTTTTTCGAAGTCAAACCCAATAATTGACAATATATTTCAGGCGGAAACACAGACGAGCATATTCCGTTATCGAAGCATAAAGATAAAAGACATGAAAAATGAAACAAATTTTTTTATTGAATTTCCTCCCCGTTCGAAATATCATTTTATGATTGAAAAAGTTTGAGTCGAATATTTTATGACTGAAAGAATGTGGTAGAGCATGACCATCAGAAAATCTAATCGAAATCGGCATTTTAGCATTTTATTTTTCGATGTCGTTGTTGTTGTCCTTGTTTTGTTTAAACATGACATCGGATTGAAAAAATTTCCAATATTCTCCGCCTTTCGCCCTCCTTCATCACAAAAAAGTGCTTGTCCTGTAATTGGAAGCTCAAATGCACGCTGTATCATAAGCAAATACTCATAAAGAATACGAAATAGTTGGAATGGAGCAACAATAACGCTAACAACGCCGATGACGACGATGTAAAAAGGGAGAAGAGAAAAGCGGAGAAATCATTCGACCATAATATATGTACGAGCACTTGAATGCGAAAAGGATTGAACGTGTATATTTGGTAGTAGGTTTGTGCCAAATTCGATTGTTGATCCACATTTATTCAGTGGCAATTTTGGCTAAATGAAAACTGAAGGCCAATAAACATCAGGTACGTGTTTGATCCGTTCATTTTTTATTCTCTCTTGAAAGGAGAGCGATGGCACGTGTTTTCAGAGCCATTTCATTCAGCGGCTCGTATCCGATATGAATCAACAAACGGCAACCGAAGGAGTAAAGACTCAACCGATCTATACCATATATCGACTTAAACTCAAATGGCACATATTGTTGCAAAACCCCGGTTCACTTGATTCACTTTCTGTTTTGTTTTGTCCAAACAGATTTATCAAGTGGAAGGAAGTATTGGAATAATTTCCGTGAGGAAACACATTTTTGGGTGCTCAGCTTGAAACGCCTTCCAGCTCCCACTTTGTACCATACCTCAGTTGTACTCGAGCACAAAAAAAAAATGAAGAAAAAAATCCCACTGGCAATTTTAGACAATGTCATTTAATTACGAACTTCATTTCCATCCCATATAGACAGGTTGGGCTGTGGTAGAGGTCGAAAGCAGAGCACAGCAGTGTGTAGCCGACACACTGTGTGTGTGTATGATATTCAATAATTGAATTGAGAGGTATTGATTGTGATCAGCAGCAAAATCAATTTAGTTGAATAGAATGTATGGAGTATATGGCAAAAGCCAAATAATCGAAAAGCTCAGAGCATGTACGGAGCGGCAACGGTGCCACGATATGTTAACAAATATGTATTCCGTACGTGCCTAGATTTTTTATTAACAGTTCAGGTTTGTGTGTGTGTGTGGTTTTTTTCTAATTCATTGCATGTGCACAACCCAACGATCCGATAGGTTATGGTATATTCGTCAACAGACAGTCCATTTAAAATGGTTTTTGAGTGTGAGTGCATGGAACTGAAAGCATTGTGAACACACCAAAGCGGCTGTTCATAACATTTGAGCCATCATTTGTTTTCTACTCTCTTTCTCTTTCTCTCTCTTTCTCCTTTTATCTCTCTTTTTTCCTCTCCCTCTCTATGTGGCATAGACAACAGCTACATCATCACCGTCATCATCATCATCATCATCTCTGGGAATGAGTCTTTGCGAAGCATGTAAAAAATACAAAAACAAAAAACATCAGATCCATATAAAGGTAGAAGTGAGTATTGAATGGCGTGTGCTCACTTTTTTTTGCATATAAATAAATTCCATTCATGCGAATTTTCATTACTCAAACGATATGTTACCGATGGAATATCGAAAACTTGCATATATACGCATTTTGTTTGTCATGATGTAATTGTTGCCCAATTCAATTATCCAAACACGAACATCCAGTGTATGGTGTGTGTTCTTTTTTCTTTTCGTTTCAGCTCAAGGCTCATATAATAATTTACACTAAAATAAGGTGGATTAATTGAATTAAATGTTTATTTCATGCACATTTGGGACACTATGATTATTCGAATTAATTGATGATATCGCCCATGATTGTATTCGTTTATTGTGGCATAGAGTAAAAAGCCAAATTGTATATTGGGATAATTTATGGATTGGCCATTTGGTTTATGTTTGGTTGTCAAGTAAATTATTTGGTAACTGCTTTTTGGTTGTTCATTTATGAAGAAAAAAAAACGGTGAGGCAGAATAAACACACACGTGTAATGGATGAGGATGGCGTCGACAATGCACACACACATGACAAGGACGAACTGAGTAAAATCGTAAAATCCATTAGCTTGATAAGTTAATTTGTGTCCATCAGCAATAAAAATTCCTCAAACCACTCTCTCTTTCTCTCTTTCTCTCTCTCTCTCTCTTTCTCTCTCTCTCTCTCTCTCTCTCATCGCTCAATCTCATTCCCAATTCATATTTATATCCTTTTATCATTTATGTGCATTTATATATGGTTTCATTTTACCAACGTATATCTCGCATTTATCATTGCTCAATTTGAGTCAATACACAGTTGATTCGGTGGGCCCAATTCAAACGTACAATAAACTAAATTATGTATGGAAATAAATATAGATTGGTTTTCATTGGATGGTATTGTTGTATCTCGTCAATATAATGAGCATAACTAAGGAATGCGGAGTCAGAATAACTGCGGCCAAATATTTTTTTTTCGTTCGGTTCGAACGAATAGCCTGTTTGATATTTAGAGCATGTGCTGTTGGACAGGAAGAAAAAAATAACCATTGAAATGATTTCGAATAAAATCGAGAATGTTTGTTTACTTTGTGGTGGTGCTCGGGCATTATTCTGCATTCACTATTATTATAATAGCAGGTTGTTGAATCGCTTACTGGCTATACAGTTTTTTTTTGTCCGGTGTACCATTACGATTACATATAGATTGAGCTTTTTTACTGTTTCTGCTGCCGTTTTTGTTGTTCTGGAATTGTCGGCGGTCAATAGCAATCCCATTGTCCAGTTTTATGACTTGCCGCGCATAAATGGTTAGCAATACGAGAGGAAAAAAACTCAGACAGACCAGAAGCGATTAATGCGGACGTGTATAATTATCGATGCGGTTGAGTAGTATTCACATGATGATGACAATTTGCTATTTGCTTTATCTGAACGCCAACGGTGGCAATGGTAA